ACAGGTCAGCTGTTTTCTCGTTACCCAGAAATACGGTTGCCTTTTTTTCTTTCCGGTAAAATTCTGTGTGGACTGGTTGTGTCTGTGTGCAGCTGAAACGCATGTTTGATGCTTTTTTTTTCATCAGATTTGAACTGAATGATCTGTATTCTCCTGCTATTTAGCAGTTTTAATTTTATCCCAAAATATCTCCTCTCCGTCCAGTTTTCTCGGGCATCGCATTGTCTGGGGTGAGTTTTCCTGCACTTTTTTCTCACCCACTTTCGCTTCGTTTAGACTGCTTTGATGCGTGGTTAATTGCTGCTAATGTACAGAAAATGAATGCGCCCCTGGGCACACATCGTCTTACTACTTTGCGACTTTATCTGTTTGCATCACGTGTTATACAAAAAAAAATCCATCCTGTCTTATACGAACAGTTGCACTGGAGAAAAACCGCTTCTTTGTGGCATCTGAAGTAATTTTGTCTTTACAGTATGGGTGGAGCGCTTGCAGTACACGCAGTGGCCAGTGGTCGAATAAAAGATGCAGTGGCGCTTACTGTAATCGATGTTGTCGAAGGAACAGCTATGGAGGCGCTGAACACAATGAAACATTTTTTGAGGAATCGGCCACAGAAATTTGGCACTGTTGGAGGTTTGCATATATATATGTACAGGGGAAAATCAACAATTACCCAATACAGCTCGAACTTACTGTTGTTTCATTGCATTTTTCAATCAACGAAAGTTTTTGTCACAGCAACTGTGACTTTCGACGTAGGTATCAGCAGTGACTTGCAGCATAGCTTACGTTATAGTCATGCAGTGCGAAGCTTGAAAACGCCGCTATTTCCCCATGTTAGCAACTAATTCAGGCTGCCGATACGATAATGCGCTTTTACGCTAAACTTGCAGCAGTCAGCTCGTTAGCAACATCAGTGGTTCCTGCTTTGTACTTTAACACGTAGTCCACGTTGGCCATATTTTTTTTTTTTGCATATTCTTGCGTACAAAGAGGAAAAGGTGTTGATGAGATGGTGTTTTTGCAGCATAGCTTCGCGTGATCCC